TCTGAATAGTGAAAACAAAAGCTTTATTTGGCTCCATCAGTTGGAATTGTCTGAACAGTTTTAGAACTGAAGTCTTTTTAACCTACTGTGTATAAATGGTCCAATACAACTTATTATAACTGTATAGAGTTAATTGTTATATGGTGTGATACAATAATATAATAGAAATAAAAGAGTTAATATTTCAAATGTGGGATATGTTATTTTGTATTTAGTTTTGCTGGGATAAGAAAGTAAATTTGAATTTAAAAAAAATAAGCACAAACAGTTTTTGCTATGCACGGCTCTTTAAAACAGTTTTAAGGAAAAATGTGTCAAATACATGCAGTTGAAATTTAAAACCTATATTATATCTTTTAATGGCAACTAGGAGAAATCCATCAAAATCGACGGTTACTTTCAAGGCTTATGATGATTGTTCATCTAACTGGGATAAAGAGAGAGAAATTATCAAAGTTTTGAACATTTAGCTTAGTTTAAAGAACATGAAATAAGTGTAAAAACAATATATTGACTATTGCGTAAGTTAAAAAATATGGTTAATTATTCAATGGATAAAATATTTCCAGTACTTTATCGGAGTTCTTATTAATATGTTAACTGGTTTCATCTCCTTTTTGAAGAGCCTTATTAGAAGATGCTATTAAAATCATATCGGTGGATATTTTCTAGATCTTCCTCCATTTCATCAGTGTCAGGCAGATTAAATCTATGTTTTTATTTGAAAAAATGTCTGTTTGTTAAGAAGGCTCTTTCTCAGTTCAAAGAGAGGTCTACCTTTAAGCTAATTAAAAAATCAATAAATAATTTCTCTGTATAAGGAAGAGTGTCTAAATTGAACTTCAAATTTAAGTCAAACTAGATTTTTTCCGCTTATAGTTTAAAAGAAATTTAAAAGTGCTTACGAGATCAAATAAATCAAACTCACAAAAACTTTCCCCCTTTAATTGGACACATGAGTCTAAGAGGAGTTTTTCCAGTAAAACCAAACAAAAAACTATCTGATCCTTTAATGCAGATAATTAATTTGTGTAGGATGAATCCCTTACGTAGAGTCTTACAAACAATTTGCAATGCTACAAGTGGGTGAGCAAATTACAGTCTATTGCTTGCTATAAAAGATCAGTCACTCGATATCAAATTATAAGCCATTATCGCCTACCATAATCTTGTAATCCCTGAGGCGAACTGTATGTTAATAGTTGATATGTGTATCAATCGAGTCATACTTGTGGGCGTTCTTACATAGTAAGAGCCTCCAGGAGGTGGTCCCATTATGATTGTTTTAATAACAGAGTAATCTCTCAGGATGTGAATAAGCAAGACTGACACTAAGAAAATAGATCCGACATTGTGTTTAAATTGTGTAATGCCCATATAAAAATTTATCTTTCTTTATAGTAAATAGTTTACAGGTTTCTCATACAAACCGGTATGTATTCAATGAGACGTCAAGGTTGTTTAGTAATTAAAAAAATCTTAATAGGTATTTAACAGAGAATTAGATTTTTAACTATGTAAAAATTATTATTTTGAGCTTTTTAATAATTCATCTCCTCAATACACGATACATTTTCCTCCTGTCAATCTATGGGGGGTTCTTAATTTAATCAAGGGATGTCAATAACCCTACATCCATTTTTTTAGATATTAATTTTACATGATTTCATTTTATCATTGATTCAACTTAATTTTACTCAAAACTGTCAAAAGTTTTCCACAGTAGAATTAATTAACTTTGTAAACATTTAGAATATCTAACGAAAATAATGCAAACTACCTAGTAATAAATTTATAATAATAACTGTGTTCAATTGTTATACAAATTCTAAACACAAAAGGTACCTAAGTAAAATAATTACCGCAGATTTACCTAAGACTGTTAAATTTGTTAAATTTGCATTACCAGTTCCTATTCAAATATGATCTCCTTAATACACTCATTTGAGATATATTATTGACTTTTCAATTTTAAACCTTCTTTTGAGATCCACACAACCAACTAAACATTTGTAATCAAGTTTCTAGTCCAACAACGACAACGTTCCACAAACAGTTGACCAGTCTCGGTTCTTGATACATTAGCATATCTGTAATTAAGTGAGGTTAGGTTTGTAGTGTCCAGGTGCATTGTGGGTATGCTAAACAGCTGATTGGATCAGCTGAGACTTGCCTAGAGTCAAACACCATTAGTCACTGACAGGTTTACTGATAAACAACTGCTGAAGAAGTTTGTAATTGGAACACTACAGACATTCTTTAGGTTGTGTTCATATAATAAAAATCTAGGAGAGTTAGCGTAGCGAACGAGCTAACCTGAAGGCAAGTGAGCGGAGCGAACGAGCTCCAACCTAAAGGTGAGTGAGCGTAGCGAACGAACTTCAACCAGGACGTGATTGAGCCATGCGAATGAGCTCACTTGTGAAGTTAAACGGGGCAAAGCCCGCGGGTACAGCTAGTATAATAAAAATCTAGGACACTGTCACCATAAATGAAACATACTACTAATAGATTTACCACCCCTTAGGACTTAGGAGCCATCTGAATACAAAATTGTTAGGTTAGAATGTTAGATGCAGTTCTTTCTTGTCATTTAACCAATTTAAAAATCAATTCAACTAAACAAAGCTAATGATTAATAAACTAATGCATGACCTGTGACAAGATAAAAAAATCAATGTGGACAATTGTGCACTCAAACTTTACTAAGATTAAACACCCTTAAAACATGGTTTCAACTTTTACTATTGGATGAGAAGTCTAATTGCACTATTCAAAGCAAACAAAAGTACTACGGCAGATTTTAAAACTTCACTTTAACTGGAAGCATAATTAGGCTTTATAATAAGAAGTATTTTTCAAATCATTTGTAACAAAAATAACATGTTTTTGAGAGTAGTAGACCACTAAGAAATCCCAAGCTAAGATGACAAGACTCAGTTGGAATAGATCTCATGTCAAACCAGACTGACAGTTATTGAATTGACCTCAGTTTATAAAAAGGCAAAGAAGTCTATCAGAAGTAGAAAAATGAAGAAATCCATTGATAAAATTCATTTATCTCAACTTTATTGGACCTGTCCCACAACAAGGTTGTACTATAAGTTAACAAATAACATAAAGGTTAAAAACACTTTTTAGTACAAAATTTATATTTTAACTAAAAAAAATTTATTTCAGTCAAGATGTGCAAAATCAATGCTATTTATAAGAAGAAAGAGAAAACAAGAATCTTGTGGAAGCACAGCAGGATCAGTAAATAAGATGAATATTCCATCAGTGATTCAATATTCTCTCACAACAAGCGCTAGTAGCTGTCTTGAAGGATTATACCGAAGAAAAGCCGGCAGAGAAAAATCAAATTAACCTGTCTCGGGCATTAGTGTGAGTGCGGCTCTAATGTCTTCACAATTAGTCCTCCGTTGAGGTCTTCTGATTGGTTTAATCTCGGATTATTTCAACGCAATAATTAAGGAAGCGCTTCACTAGTGGCTGCAGTGATTGTAAGCAATTTTAATTGGGTCATTAAAATAAATACATTGGACTTATTAAATCTTTTGCAGTTGAATTAAATTAATTCATATCGACAATGGTAAGTTAAATTAACATTTCATAAACACACATGAATAAAATACCATTTTTAAATCAATGGTTGACTATTTTAAATTAGGAACTTCACATTAACAAGATTCAGGTTATATTAAATTCCAAATATTACTGTTTATTACAATTCTAAAGAATATATTTTTATGATTTGTTAAAAGAATAATTTATTTTGAGTTTTAATTATGTCTCTTCATAATACGAGTAGTAGTTTAATCAATGAAGTAGTAACCCAGAAATCTTTCACTGTGGTAACACTCACCTATAGTAATTTAGGTTATTTTTCCTACTTTAAAGGTTCTAACTTATTATTTTTGTGGTCTTAACTTACATTCTCAGTATCTTGTAATAGAGGACACTAAATATTTAAGAACAAAAAGCCAAACTCTTAAAAAGATTGTTGATAATCCAGGGATGGCTGTAGCGCTGTAGCTGTGTAGCTGTGTGATTATGATTTTTGCAACAGAGAAGACACAGAAGATACGAGCTCATGGGATAACTGTGCGCTTTTAGCTCAGGTATGTTGAGGCAAAAATGTACTAGTATCAAGCAAGGAAGAGCCCAAACGACTATAGCCACATAGCATATTTGCACAGCAGTTATAGTGCACAGGGTCTTCCTACAGTGTGAGCACTGTAGTACATGATGGCAAGGAGGGAAAGGAGAATGGAAGGGGATAAGGAATAAAATTTTCTCTAGACATCTGGTTCTAGACATCACTTAAATGTACCATTGAATGTATCCTTTGTTTCTTACTTCTCTGTGTGTTCTCTGAAATTAGAAGGTTGCTGTTTCGATCTTGACAAAAGTCAGCGACTTTTTGATGACGTTGATGTCCAATAATTATTATGATCTCCAATAAATTATTCTGGCTAAAAATAGCTGGTCTTGGTAAGCAAAAAGGCTACACAAGGAATTTCACTTCATTCTACACTCACCCTTCATTAATATTGGGTTGATACGCCCAGAAGCATCCCCATCTCAATTAGTAATCAAAATAATAACGAAACCCGTCACTCTTGCACCAAAGTCCAAGATACTGACCACTAGATTTTAGCAAACCACCGCTAATCATAAGTGAAACATCTACCATACCGTACTTTTAAAATTTAATTACAACTTTTTTTGTCCTAGGACTCTCTAGGTACGAACCAGGGTGGTTTTTCACATTACTTCAAACAAGACCTAGAGGTTGCAGCATTATTACTTAGATGAAACCCATTGATGATTTGGCGGGATTTGAATCCCCGCTTGAAGTCCTGCGCTCTAACCACTAGACCATTTCATTCCCCAATTTAAATACAACTAAAATTGCTTTTACTTTACAACAATCATTAGATACTTGAATACAAATTTTACACAGTAAAATCCTGTGAGAAATACTCATGTAGACTCACCTTTAGGACAGTCCTGTTCATCAGTCTTGTCGCTGCATTGGTCCTCACCATCACAGACCTGGCTTTGCGGGATGCACCGAGTCAGATCACACATGAACTCGCCAGTGGCACAATCTGCAACAGCCAAACATTACGTAAGAAACAAGAAGTACCTCAGTTGTGCCATCTTTGTTTCCAAAACTAATTTTTTTAAAGTGTTTATTCACACAAATGTAGATGAAAGTAAATTCTTCCAAGCATTGTAAAAATCTTTGAACTAATGAACACTTAATTGATAATTTTTCAGCACAAATTGTTATCAATAACCAGCTAACTACAAGAAACACTCTGGAGCAAGCAATAAATGTTGTAAAGTTTTACTGCCACTGTCTATTAAAATTCAAAGAAACGCTTCTTCAAAGCTGTAATTGTGTTTTTGATGGATATTTTTATCCACTAATATTTGAAAATGATATAATACTATTGAAACAAAAAGTTTTGTTCTGTTTTAGTCCACAAACTAAAATCCTTTTTGTAGCTTGTTATATGAATTATAAACAAGATTCTTCACTTTGAACAATAAACAAACTATTTCTCAATCTAGTACACAGTTTTCCACAGTCAAACCAAGGTCTTAAAAGAGACAACCATATCTTTGAACTGATGAAAACCCGGCCAACATTTTTGACGTTTTACAACAATCCATCTTTGAGGAAATCTACAATTCAAATGAACATTGACCAGTATTTTCGTGAGTTCAACATTGCCAGCCATCTCTTGTAGACCAAAACTCAACAAACTATTTTTTTTCCTTGGCAGAGAGTGTTTGTAACTCAAAACTTAGCAAGACTTAGGCTTTCAAAGATGAACTTAGACTGTTTTATTGACAAATTTACATATTAGTCTGAAACTGAGAGCCCATCGAGTGTTCCATATAATAATAAAAATGGTTTAATTTACCTCTGTCAATATGGTCCTTGCGTAGTTTGTCACTACTGCAGTTTCGTGCTCGTGGAGCACATCTTCAGGCGAAGGTCAAAAAGTTAAAACATTTTCCTCACGTGAAGGTCGTCAATTTTTGAAAACACACCTCAATTTTTTGCCAACCATATCATTGATTCAAACCATAGTTATACCGATATACAAACAAATTTAGAAGTAATGCATACTTGTCATAAAAGTAAATATATGGACACCATCGAGTAATTTGAGATTTACCGAGCAGCTAAAGTACATCCAAACCATATTTTAAACGAACAACTCTCATTCCAGTCTAACATTATTTATAATACCGCCATTCACATCCTGGAACAAGACCAAAGAAAAGGTTCTGATAAGAGAAGTGAGGATGGAGGGGCTACCGACTACAACACACGTCAGTCATGACTTGTCTTCTACCGGCACCGAACCCCGTGTGTAACGTTTTTAATGTATTGGCCAAGTTTATAAATGTTTTTTTTTTCGTACCGTTCGTGTGTTATGTGTTTTTCGGTGTGTTTTCAAAACTTGACGACCTTCACGTGAGGAAAATGTTTTAACTTTTTTACCTTCACCTGAAGATGTGCTCCACGAGCACGAAACTGCAGTAGTGACAAACTACGCAAGGACCATATTGACAGAGGTAAATTAAACCATTATTATTGTTGCTGTATGGTCCAGAGGCTACCCATCATGAAATTCCATATAATAGTTTACTGGTGTTGACAGGACTAATAATAAAGAATATTGACTTGATGCTTCACTAACAGAGAGGTAGAACAGGTAGAATATTTAAACTGCAACACAACCTTTGTTATACTAATGATTTCACAATGATTGCTATTACTCTTTTTGACGTTTTTGAACACATCATAATATTTACAATTTATAAAACTATATCTAGGCTACTTCATCTAATATTTACAACATCTACTCCACTAGGACATACAGCTAAGTTTCAGTGTTAGTATTAAACAATATCGAAATAAGCTCACTTAAAAACTAAATTAATACTGTACAAGTGTAAAACTACCCTGAACCGTGAGGGTTTACAACTGTGAGGAGAGTTATAAGCTACTATAATACAGTAATGTACTTGGTTAAATTAGTAATGGTTTAGTAATTCAGTAAAACCCCTCGTATCCAACCTAGGATGAGATGTAGATCTCTGTGTTTGAAAAAAAGAGAACAAAGGGTCTGAAAAACCAAGTTTATTACAAATTATTGAAATTAACATATCAAAGTGATATAACAGATAATCTGGAAAAAAAGCAATTAGGTGAGTGGAAATAGAGGATAGTAAATAGAGGTAGTATATGAGAGATTCTACTATAATATTCAAAGCTTGTTTATAAAGATTACAGTGAAAAGCTGTTAGGAACTTTCATATTCTACTAAGAGTTACAAAAATTACCTCTGTTTTCAAAAACCCCATCAAATTTAAGTTTAATCTTAAAGAAATATCACCTTGGTATTTTATGTATGATCATAGCACTTAAATGTCTCAAAGACACTCCTTATTGCTACTTTTTGATCACGCAAATACCAGCAAATATACAAAAACTTAAATTAATTTCCAGGTAATTTTCTGGAAGTTTTTCTTGCTTAAAAAATTGTTCCCGATTGCTTTCAAGATCAGTGGTCAAGATCTTAACCTTTGGGTCAAGGAATCATCACACAATTTAAAAAATCCCATTAATGATTAGTGGGATTTGAACCAGAAACCTTGGGGACCGAAGTCGCCCGCTCTACCACTAGACCAGCTCGCTCACACGCTTTAGCTACTTCACTATATCCCCAACCTTAATTGTATGCAAGTACTTTAATAATTTTCCATTATGAGTCCCAAGTGTACTTTTTGAACGTTTTAAGAACTGCAGGCAACTGAGAAAAAAGATAAGTTTTGACAATGGCTTTATTTGACAATGGAGTTGCAAATAAGGGTTATAAAGTTTCAATAAGTTTATGGGCTGTATAATTAGTTGCAATAAACAAAAAATTAATGAATTCAGATGAATAGCAAATAATTTGATATTGATTTCATTTTGTTGATCACTCCACACCCCAATACCCAAGAAGAAAATTGTATCAATTAGCAACAATTGGATCTGTAGAGAGAAAGTTTTATTGGGATGTACTGGATAGTGTAATTCCTTATGACTACTAGGGCATTTCAAGGTGTTACTCTATAGTTAGATTCAACAAACTAATATTGTTTCAATGGAGCCAAGAGCGTTTGACAACAATATGGTTTGTTAAAATAAGTTTTTCAATATTCATCAGGCGCTAAGCAAAACCCACCTAATCCCCACCAATCGAAACATTCCGCTGATCTGGACGATATGCTGGGGAAAAAGTTTACTGTATTTAAACTAACAAAGCTTAGAGTTTTTAAATACAGTTCCAGCGACCGGAAATCCGAGAAATTTGTGAGTCACACATCAATTTTGATACCAGAAAAAAAGTGTATGAACTGTACGACTCTTTAGTGTGGAATCGGGAAACTTGTAATACAATCAATTGCCTATCGCTAAACATCCAATCATTAACAGCATTTCTTTGATTCTTCAAGAAATCGATTGTGGAAGATGATCCCCAGTGTTTTGGCGATCACAGAAGACAATCACGGTGAAGAAAGCTTGTTTTCTCAAAGCTAATAATTCCAGAATCTTATTTGTATTATATTCATTGATGAAGTCAAAATGACCCTATACATATTTGTAAGTTTCACTGTACAATCATGCATCCTAAACCTACCAGCCAAATCCTCACTAAATCAATCATCTCCAAAGGATATAGTTCCTCCTATGTTACTTTGTCCGCAACCAACCTTCACCAAGAGTTACGATAGATGTATTTATCTCTTTCTAATCTGCACAAATTAAATTATCTACAACAGTAATATCTACCCCCAGCACCAATTAACGTGGTAGTTGAAGACACTGAAATAGATGTACAAAAGCGTTTATATTACAGCTTAGTCTCAGAGTAGAAGAAATGGTTACTTCATAGTTGACTAAAGCGAGATTTAGGGTGTCCACATGGAGAGGGAGGGGGGAGGAGGAAGGTAAAAACACATTCAATAGTCAGATAGAAAAATATAATAAATCAGGGTGTTTACCAATTTTAGCATGAATATGGTTTAACCCTCCCAGTGTTACTTGACGAAAATTCGACAAGCAGCACACTTTGTGTAGTGTTACTTGTCGATTTTTCGACACGCAGACATCGTTTACGGCGAAGGCTCTATGACTGACTGAATCGGATTGAACTGGATCGAGTTAGGTATCGTTCTTTCCGTAATATTCTAAGCTTTCTCCAGAGGTCTGTCTCAGCGCTGTACGTTCTCTGAACCGATCGTAATTGTAGCAGACAGCTGACGTGCGTGTATTTGTAAACAGCTAGGTTACTAGGACCGATGACTGATGTGTTTTATTACGTTTATCATTGTTTTAGTGTTAAAAATCAAAAGTAGTGATTTACGTGTTGCATTATAAGAAGATTTAAGTGGTTTTGAAGTGCTGGTTGATGATCCTGAAGAAGTAGGTAGTGATATTGATGTAAATTATCAGCCAGATTCCTAGCTAAGGTTAGGCTATGCATTCTTAGCTAAACGCTATGTACTGAAATCTGTTTTTTGCCCATAACTTATTTATTTGCAAATCTACTTCCTTATATTATTATATATTTGTAATCCTCATAAAATTTAGAACAAAGTGGCTATTTTCAAATATTTATAGGCCTATAATTTATACAATTTCATTGAGCGCGAACTTATTTTTTTTTTGAAAATTTTCAAAATTATATATTTTTTTTTTTTTAATGTTCCTTATGTTTTATATATAATATTGAAGCCCATGATTTTCCAAACAAAATGGTATATAGAACATTAGAATTAACATTGTTTTAAGCTTCTCAGATCCGTTTTAATAAAACCTTGCAAATGCGCCAAAAATAGGTGGACATTAAGGCCTAAACTATGGACACTTGGAGGGTTAATGGTACTGTACTTCAATTTAATTTTATTTACACATTTCTTTGATTAAGTACCGGTACAAGTCATTGTACACAACTTTTACTCATTTCAAAGGAGTGATTATCAAACTTTTACAACTTACCAATATTTTTCTAACTTTTCTAACAATCATTATTAAGCATATCTCTAAAATCAATCTATAAATGTTCAAACTAGAAGGTATCTCTACCACTCAGTTAATGACAGAAATTATTTAATCATATTTATTTATTTAATGTACCTACTTTTAACCGGGGATTCAGACAATCTAAACTTTTATGTTATTTGTATTCCAGTGAAATAGTAATAATTGATTTTGAATAAAGAGTCCCTGAATGTTAAAATTAAACTTAGTATCAAGGACCAATTCAAAGATATCATATTCACTAGCTGTTTAATAAATTATCATCTTTTCTAAATTTAAATTCCAAATAAACCTAAGGCCCTTACTTTTTCAGAAAACTAAAAACCTCAGTCAGAATTAAATGTGAAAGATTTTAGTATTTTAAAATGCCCTACACAACCAATTCGATTAGCTCTTTTGCTAAATTCTATACAATTTAGTTAAAACTTTAGAATCCAAGTTGTTACAAACATGTCTCTGCACAGAAAGGAAGTGTGGACACCCTTTCTCAGTTAGACATCGACCACCACCGCCCAAAGACAGTATCACCAACCCTCGGTGGGGCAGTCTCGTTCGTCGTCTCCCCCAGGACAGTCAGGTTTCCCGTCGCACACCTGGGCGTCGCAGATAAAAGCTGAGCCATCTTCGCACCTGACCTTGTCATCGGCTCTACACCGGTCCACCGAGCTTCCGGTGACAGGTTGAGGCGAGAATGAACGTGTGGTAACAGCTGCCGTCACCGGTGTCGTCGCCTCTGTCGTTGTGGTAGTTATTGTCGTAGTTGTGCTGGTGGTTGATTCTGGCAAACATTATTAACAGTTTGGAAACACTTTGGAAATAGACTTGGATATAATGCTCACGTATTTGATTTGTGTTGTGTAGGTGAACGTTGTTTTCCATCAGTGTTGGAAACTTTACAGTAACTATATTTTCCTTTATTTAAACTCGAGATAATAAATAAGTTTGCTTTTGAGAGATAGGACAAAAGCTTTTGCAAGTGTTTTAGCTTATTAATTATAATATTACAACTGTAAAGAATCCAATCTTGCCACAAACATTTGAAATTACATTGGTCATATACACTTACCAAAGGTGATGGTCTTTAATTTTATTAGAATGATACTACACATATTCAAATTAAATTATAATAGGCTACTTATAATATGTTCAGTGAATTATTTATAATATGATCTAAGAATGGAGTTCAAAACACAGCGCAGTTGGCTACTCAATACAAATTGAAAAATACTAATGCCTAACATTTCAAGCAATGACATTAAAGAAAAAAAACTGTATAAATATATATTTTATCATAATTTTTTTTTATCACACTATCAAATCTACCACAACAGCAGTGATCAAACATTAAATACTTTCTTTAAGCGTACAAACTCAAAACTCAAACCAAACTGGATCTTTGGAGGAAAGCGAAATTGACGCCCCGTTAAAAACTTACGGTCTTACCAGGAATGTACGGGATGTTGACCGGAGGACATCCGGCCTCGTCAGATCCGTCCAGACATTCTGTGGAGCCGTTGCAGCGAGCGGCGTTGGAGAGGCAACGTTCACCGGAGTAGGTGTCACACTCGATGTCACCCGGTCTGCAGACAGGTGGAAGAAGCTGCGGGGGTGAGCGGGGCGGATCTGTACCATTCACAACTCAACACATGCCATAGCAAGCAAGGAAAAAAATAATAAACAGAGTGAGAGTGGTTGTTTTAGTGTTGTTTTGGGGTGTTAAAAAGAGTGTTAGTTTGAAATTGTATGACCCGAGCAGGAGTAGAGTTATTGTAACATCTCAATCCTTCAATATTTTTTTGAAATTTTTTAGAATAAGTTTTAAATGCTATTTATAGAGATAACTATATACAACTATTAGATTGATTAAAAATTAACGGGCATCTACATCAAAATGCAAAGTTTGTATGTTTTGCAGCACTTTTTTTTAAGGTATTCATTGTTGTTTTTATAATGTTTTTATAATGTTAACCAACACTTTCCATGAAACCAACAACATGGCATCGAAATGTAGATCACAGGCGAACGTAATTATGAGTTTATTGCTCACACCAAAAATGAAAATATTACAAAGATCTGAGTGAATATACTACATAATATTAACACTTTAAGATTGCCCAGGTAAATTTTAAGACTATGTACCAGAAATCCTTATAGTAACTATTAACAAGCGTTTGATTCAAATTCTATTATATTAGAATTTATTCAACTGAATTTAACTAAATTACAATATTTGCATTTAATTTGATTTACTTCTAGGATTAAGTGATCTAGTGAACTGTTTTTGTTATGACAATGGTGATATGGCATAGAATGGACCAATCCCGGAGCCCCTTTCCTTGTCTACCCCGCGTGGTGTGCCCGAGACCTCTACAAACCTCTGTGTAAACTGTGCTGTACACCTTCCTCATGGCCTCCTCACTAAGTGCACACCCATATGACTGTATTTTTTACATGGACTCTCCACGGCCTCTCCCACTACAATATGTTACTATGCTTGAATGTTTGCCACTTGGAGTGAAAACAGTGATCATAATCTCCTTAATTACAATTATTGCAGCCTAGGTAAATTAATATTGTAGACCAAAAGCCGCAACAATTTGTCAACCATCCATTTTAGGAGATCTCTTTATTTATATTTCTGTACCAAAGTCAGCTTACTGTTGTTCCTAAATTTGCATATTGGTACCAGTCAATGATTTCCGTAATTATTTTGATTCACTTAATACTTTCTATTGAGTTTTGACCCAAACAAAACGGTTATTTGTATAATTATTTTTATTGTTCAAATCAAACCCGTTAGGGCTACAGTACAAACAAAATCCTGTACTATTGATCGTAAGGTTTTAGAGGTTTATATCTAAAACAACCACTCGCAAGTACACAAATAAAATAAACATAAACTTGCATTAACTAAATACAATAATAAAAAGCTCATAGCTCAAAATATCCTTTACTGAAACAAATTTGTTTAAACCAAAAGCATGGTTTAAAACTTGTCTAAAAAAGAGTGTAGATGAAAAACCAAAATTGAAACATATCACATGACTTTTATGCAAGCAAAAACAGACATATTTTTAATACAGCTCATTATTTACAGTCATTAAAATAAAGAAAAGATAAAATATTCCCAATATCTCACAAGTATACGTTTAGGCATAGAGTAAAGTCATACAAATAAAGAGTGATATCATTCAACATAACACAAATTAACTTACCCCTGAAATCGCGGACGCTAAGCCCATCCGTGCTGACTGGGTAAGGTCCAATATTGCGGAACTGGTCGATATGTCTTCGAAACAAGTCTTCAATTTCATTCTTGTTTGTGGCTCCTTCCGATGATATGTCAAACGTTACAAAGGAATTAAAAACGTCAAATTCGCTCCTGAAAATAAGGTCATGTATTTACATTGTACTACATTGTATTACACATGATGAAAAAGGAAATATTATTTGCATATTTCTTAATCACAAAAATTTAATTCAATCTATTGTTAAAATTTGCCTTTTGTATTCAGTTCATATAACTGTAACAAACAAGTTTAAAAATATTAACTCGTTCTGCTGTTACCTGCATGTGGCATGTCGAAAGATAAAAGAATGGATACACTTGTAACAACAATCATCTGAGCTGCATATAAGCTTAGGCTTTCACCATTGACTATATACACATACACACACATACATGGTAAGAATGTAAAATTATCAAATTTCCTAATCAGAGACACAGCTTACAATTATTCCACAAATCCTGTAAAATTCTCCTCAAGCAGATGATTGCGGCAAAATAGTAATCATCTCCTGCGGTCTTGTGAAGATCATCATTGTCTTCCGCAAATGAGGCAAAATTCTTATCTTTTCCCGTGGTTATGTGGACATTATCATCATTTTTCGTGATCGTGGCATAATTCTAATCATCCCTCGCGGCCGTGTAGAAACAATTATTGTATCTCCCGAGTTCCTGTGCACATGGTAATCTTCTCCTGCAGTCGTGAAGACATCGTAATAGTCTCCCATGACTGCGGCAAAATGTTAATCATATCCCGCAGTCGTGTGGAGATCGTCATCGTCTTCCGTGATGGCGGCAATATTCTGATCATACCTCGCGTTTCTGTAGTATCATCATCTTCTGCAATCACGGAAAATTCTGATCATTCCTCATCATGGCCGTGTGTTGACATATTATTGTCTCCTACGATCACGGAAACGTAACTGTTATCGTGAGTGATTGCGGTAAATTGAAAATTCCAGGTAGAAATACAAAATTCATGCATAATTCCCGGTTAAAAATTTCACACATAATTCCCGGATTTCCCGGTCGGTGGACACCCTGATATATATGTTCCAATGGGGCTTTACTATATTAGTTGTGCCCAGGGCGCTGGCAGGGTCAAAAACGGGCCTGTATCAAACTCTAAAGAGTGGTAAGCTGTATTCAAAATTGTACAAAATAAGAGTAAGTGAGGTGGTGTACACATTATTAGTTAGTAGGTATCTGCTAGACAGCGAAGTCCTTCCTAATATTACTTTTTTAGTCTGGATGGTTAAACTTCCACAAAATGTCGTATCCCAACACCTTTTCAATGACCTCTTCTTCATCACTATTAGAATAGTTTACTCTTTTCACTGCATAAGAGGAAGGTGCTGTCTATTGTGATGGTGTGTCTAATGTTGCTACGCAGCTCAGACTGACTGCTCCGAAAGCAGACAGTCCAGGCCGCAGCAAATAGTCCGAGCTTATTAGTTATAGTACTCATACACAGCGTATCTATTGCACGTCTAGCAAACCACAGCCTAAAGACACAGGCTGATTTGCTAGCATTGCTGTTTCAAGATCAGCACCTGCTCTTATCTTATCACTGAATTCACTAATAGCTTGCCTATGTGACCTAATACCAAGTTACTCCACTGTCTTTCGGATCATTGCCCCTAACGCCAGAAGTCCATAGTGACAGGCAGCAGTGTGATAATTATAAAGTTTCGATATAATAAGTTGTGATGGCCGACTCAGTTTTTGGCGGTGAAAGAGAGAGGTTAAGACACTAAGACTTTACTTAAGGTAAAGCTGGGTTTTCCTAGGCGGGGAAGTGGAGAGCGGAGAGCGGAGAGAGGAACGCGGAGAGCGGAAAAGAGATTAACATAGTGTTCCGCTCCACTTCTAGGAAAACAGTAACATTAAATTACCTAAGACAAGTGGAGTCCGCTCTCCGCATTCCTCTCTCCGCTCTCCACTTCCGCCCCTAGGAAAACCCGGCTTAAGAGTGAATACTTACTTGTCCATATCGATCACACCAGACTTCTGTGTTCCTTCGATGTTGACTAGGAGTTCATCTATGGCTCGAGAGAACTTCTCAGAGAATTCCTTGAATTTTTCACTGTTTCTGTCGGCAAAATCTGGTGCGTACGGCTCGTGAACAGTCATCGTTACTCGGAAGAAAGCTGGATAAACAGAGCAAAGAGATTCAAAACAACTGTAAAATATCCCACCGCAGCAAAACTGCAGACTAAGCAAATTTCCGTTTGTCTGATTGGATTGTTAAGCTATGGTTCCACAGGATGCGGAATCTCCGCCGTGCGGTGCGATTTTTTCCGCTGAGGAATTAAAACGACACTGGTTTAATGGAGTTCCCGTGTGTGCGGTTCCACTGACTTGCGATTCCGCATCCCGAATTTTCGGTTCCGCATGGCGGAGAAATCATACTGGTCTGAGAGCAGTAGCAGTGCAGATTCCGCCAGCGGAGAAGAGCCATCAAGTATTGTGACCGTGCAGTTTCATTATGTCATATGCTGTAAAAAGAGTTATAGATGAACGATTATAAAGTAACACCTATAATCGCAACACTGACTTTCAACAAACTAACTGTTAAAATAAATTATTATAATACATTTAACATAAACTGTCGAAAATGGTAGACCTGACTAACAATTATCCTGAGATGTTTGGGTATCAAGTGTTAAACGGGATCTCGTGATTGAAACCCCTTAAGTTTTGTTAAATAAATAGCAAAAATAGGCCCCTTCACATATCTCACTTCGATCACGACTTTACACTAACAAAGATAAAAGATCGACAACATCATCATCAATGTCATCATATAGCATTAAAGCCAAAAGGGCTTTCCTCTTTCTATCCATATTCGTCGCTAGTTTGGACAGAACTGAATCTCCGCAATGTTATTTTCACAGTCTGTAGAACCACCCCTCTAGATTTTCGCTGCGTAATTTTCCGCTGAGAAAAATTATGCACCGCATGGCGGAGATTCCGCATCCTGTGGAACCATAGCTTCAATAAAATGTTCCTTTGACATGTCAGATGTCTTCCCTTTTTCAATAACATTAGGTTTAACGAGTACTTACGTTCACTGCTGGAAGGAAAAGAGTATTCTTGGTAAAATGTCAATTATATTGAGTGATATAAATAAATTTTCTGGTTGTGATCAAAATATATCCATAAACAAGCTAACTACAACAGATTTTACAGGTTGGTCTAGACCTAGCGATAAAATTTTTTCGGGTAGTAGAGCAACACAAGTGTGACTCAAATCTACAATTTAAAAAAATATATACCCCACACCCACTTGCAGAAACGTTATTTTGATTTTTTTTTTTAAAACCTGCACATTTACACAACATTTTAAAATTTCTGTAGTATTTTAATACATTATTATAACTTTGACACTACCATCATATTCTCCATTAAATTCTATGTAAGAATAGACAGCTTCTGGTGAGCCCAAAGCTTCAGAATTGCTATTTAAATCGATTTAGAACTAAGAAATTTTGGTTTTCACAAAAAAAAGGTTAAAAATAAGCCTACAGACAAGCTTTTTTAGAAAAATACTAGAAATTAGCAAATGGCAACAAAAACTGCTCTAAAATCATAGCTTTTAAAAGATATGATGAGGCATTGAATTTGCTTCCTTTTAAGTACAGCTATTTCAGTTATAACTGTGGAAAACATGGTTTAAGGAAAACAAAAACGCACTATAACAAACCAAAAAGACACACGTGATATTATTATTATAGAAACAGCATGAGGCTGCAACAAAATTTGTATCAAGACGAGTTCAAAACAAATTCCAAGTATTGGATTTGATAACCAAACTAAAATGCAAGTTCATTTTAATTTTTTTTTTTTTTAATGTCCTCCATTCTATCTGATGCAGGCTCTAGCTCTCTTCCGCAAAGAAATCCATGGGGTTCAGATCAGGAGATCTTGCGGGCCAGGGCACCAGACCTCCTCGGCCTATCCACGTGAGATAGTTAGCACTCAGCCAATCTCGAATGTCATTCGTAAAATGAGGAGGTGCTCCGTCTTGTTGATAAATGATATCTTGACGGAGCACAGGAATCAATCCAAAATTTGAAGCAGATCGAGTTGAAAAAATTCAAGGTACATCTCTCCACTCAATCTTCCCAAAAAAATATGGGGACCTAAGAAGCAATCACCAATCACAGCTGCCCAAACGTTTATAGTAAATCTTTTTGAAAGGAGTATTGAGAAGAGCATGGTGCTACAGTAGATTTCTGTCGCTACCTCCTGAATTCTGACATTGAACAATACCACTTTTTCAAAAAGATTTGTGGACAGATGAAGCTCTTTTTACAAAACAAGGTGTATTCAATTCCAGTGCCCTGGCCTGCAAGATCTCCTGATCTGAACCCCATGGATTTCTTTTAGGAAGAGAGCTAGAGCCTGCATCCGAGAGAATGGAGGACATTTTGAAAATAAATTAAAATGAACTTGCATTTTAGTTTGGTTATCAATCCAATACTTGGAATTTGTTTTGAACTCGTCTAGATACAAATTTTGTTGCAGCCTCATGCTGTTTCTATAATAATAAAAACTATCATGTGTGTCTTTTTGGTTTGTTATGGGGTGTTTTTGTTTTCCTTAAACCCTGTTTTCCTCAGTTTTAACTGGAATAGCTGTACTTAAAATGAAGCAAATTAAATGCCTCATCATATCTTTTAAAACCTAAGATTTTAGAGCAGTTTTTGTAGCCATTTGCTTATGTCTAGTATTTTTCTTTAAAAAGTGTCTGTAGGCTTATTTTTAACATCTTTTTGTGAAAACCAAATAATCGATTTAAATAGCAATTCTGAAGCTTTGGGCTCACCAAAAGCTGTCTATTCTTACATAGAATTTAATGGAGAATATGATGGTAGTGTCAAAGTTATAAAATTGTATGAAAATACTACAGAAATTTTAAAATTTTGTGTAAATGTACAGGTTTTTCTAAAAAAATCTAAATAATGTTTCTGCAAGTGGGTGTATGGAATATATTTTTTAAATTGTGGATTTGAGTCACACTTGTGTTGCTCTACCACCCGAAAAAAATTTTAACGCTAGGTCCAGACCACTCTGTATACTTACTCTCCATACAAATACAAGAGTATTTTATAAATACAGTTTTTTTTTTGTATTTTCTTCATATTTTGTTATACTACAACGTTTCAATCCATAAAATTATTTGTTTTTATATGCTCTATTCAACTGTATTGAAAATTGGTCATTTTTATGTTTTAATGGTAAAATCGTAGAAAACAATTTTTTGAAGACTTCAAAACCCATTTCCCATTGCCCGATCAATCGATCATGTTTATTCAAGAATTTAATCAAAGTATCCAGCCCAACAAATTCATTCCAAATTTAATCAAATCAGCCAAATCGGGATTAAATCGGTCATTTCATGACAATTTTCTTGGTTTATTGTGTTTACGGACATATTTAATAATTTTAAAGAATATTTTTTTTCAACCTCTAGGGACATCGAAATGAAAAAAATCGGTCCCAGGTCTGGGCCTTACCATGCCTCCTACTGTAGTAGCTTTTTACTATGAAAAAATTCTCCAAATACTCAATAAAACCCACTTTTTAACCTTTTCAAGCCCTACCTCTCTGATGGGGAGACAAGTTGTTACTGCCAAATTCTGGTGGTTCCGAGCTCACTGGGATCAGATCGTCATCATCAGGTTCTGGGAATCGATCTTCCGTCGGTTCTCCAGAGGAATGGTAGCCTGACGTGCCTCCGTTGTTAAAGTCGTCATCGTCCGTCGTCAGTGACGATAGGTAGTTGTTATGGTGGGTGGAGTTGAAAACATCAACGTCGTCTCTGTCTGTACTCCGCGTATCTCTCGATAACCTGAAAAGTGAATATAATTTAAGTTTTTGATAAATTTATAATTTCAGTCAATTTGGAGATGGATTAGAATTTATAGTATTCTGACATATCAGGTGAATTTTTTGAAGGTTATAAAAATGAATGTTGCATAAACGAGATGACAGATTTGTAACTGACTCGGATCAGCTGATTCTTCAGCCAGGACCATTCATTAAAAGCCCAATGATCAAGGACAGCTGGGTCTAGTTTCACACAACAAAAAAAGCTTCTGGCTCTTCTCAGGATCGAACCAGTGAATACATTTAGGTATTCTACATTCACTTAGTTTTTGGGTTTCTTTAATGCTCATTACCATGTATTATCCAAGTATACCAAGAAGCAGGTACTTAACACATTCAAGATTAAATTAATCACCTTAGGTCCCTAGTACAGCTTCTTTTTCAGTGTTAAAGGCAAATACTCATACAATAACACATTTACTACTCCTGAAATTCCTACAATATTATAAAGTGACGGTTAAAATGTACTTATGTAGTTCAAAATGTTTTAGTCATTGACATCATAGAATTTCATCCATCAATGGCACAAATAGTGAAATGGAAATTGAATAAAAACAGTACTCATTTATATTAAACTAAATTGTTATTATTTTAATGCATGTATGATCAAAAGGTAATTTTTTAGTACACAAAATTCTTTGCAACATCTTTTAACGAAAAAAAAAAATTAGATACCTAGCTTAGAGATAGAGAGTAAAGTTATTAGCTAAAGCTCAATAAAAAAAATATTTTAAAACTGGAATTGTTTAGGTTTAGATCTTTTACTAATTAGTTTTTATAATTTACTGAATCAAAAGTATTGTACATAACTGAATATGAATATAGAAAAATGTATAGAACTATGAAGCCAAATTTGTTGCTAGGATTAATGTTTCGTTCTACTTTAACTACACTAATATAACTGATAGACAGTTTATTTATTTGTCACCTAACCATCAAGTAAAGTGGTCAATAACATTGATGAAATATACGTTTGTATTAAAGCACCACAAAGTCAATGGCAATAAAAATGTTAAAGGAGCGCCTTCATTGACTATCGGCTAAACCTGCAGTGCAAGTGTGTACTAAAGCTGCGCTTCTAGGATTGTAGGCACTCAAATATTATCAAGTATGCGATTTCTTTGCTCTAATAGTCTTTTTCAATTGACCCAAGACAAAAGTATAATTTGGTGGGGAACTTTATAAATTACATCGGTTTTTGATTTGTGAAAAACTTTTATTTGGCTGGTCAATATTAATTTAGTAAAAGAATTAATTCAATTAATTATTTTTTGGATACCAGTGTTCTGCAACGGGGAAAAGTCGCAGAAGAGAAAGGCAGTTCTTCTCTTTACTGTATGAAATAGTTACACTCATGCCATTGATTTTAGAAACAAATCTGTATTATTTAGTTTTCTTTCCTTAATTCAACACCACATCAGAATAAATAACAATGAACTTATTGAAACACCTTATTGATTTTAGCTTAGGTATAGGTACCGTACTGTAAACAGTGCCACGTCTCTAGGGTCATACTCAACATTGATTAAACACAAGAACCAACTCTCCAGCTCAGTTTTATGAAATATTTTAATATGATTAATGTATAAAAACAATAAAGTTACTTTTGAAATGTTAATTTTACAAAATCTGAAAATTGCTGTTTGATTCCAAGCGTGATTAACTCTGGACCCTTATCAGGCTACATTAATTTTGTCAAGGGGCTTTCAAAAAATAATGCTATATAAAACCTAACCTCTACGCTCAATCACTTGACATTCTACGACAAAAAGACAATACTGATATCAAAAACTTGGCAATCAAAAGCACGGTTTTTTAGAGAAGTGCCCAACTATGTTGGCTGTACCAATTGATCAAAGTAAAAAATAAAATTCAACACAACATAATATAAAACCTCCTTGGTAACTTCTGATATTTTTATAAAGATTATGTTAACCTTTTAACGTTTAAAATTCAGGGAACAACTCAGTATTTTTACCAGTATTTAGTCAATTCTCAATATTCATTGAAAAAATCCCGCCCCGGTAGGCAAATCCATCTGCTAAAAAAATAGAGTAGAATATTTTTTTTTTCATTTTTAAAACCCAACTTAATGGTTTGTAAATTACAAGTGAGGTGTTTGGAAAATCATAAGAAAATCTAAAAAGTTATGTAAATCCATCATAATATAAATCGATGTTATTTAAACCAATATCACCATCGATATCACACGTGAGTCTACACTTCATTGACACATATACTGTCACCCATGGGAAGTGAAATTTACAATAACAATTATACATGAACATATCTCATTTGAGGTAAAAAAAATCGATAAATTCTTGCAAAATCAATTATGCGTCTCTGGGTTTTCCACCAAATACCATTTTGCAAAACTGCATACACTTTCACCCCTGCTTATGAAATTTCCAAGTTCATTATTAACTCTGAAGGGCAATTCAGTAGCCGAATCCCGTGTTGCTTCTGTATGATTCTGAGGCTCGTGCGACTAAACTGTGTTACCCTATGATTAGTGGACCGCACAGTCGGGCGTGCCACAGTGGGATAGGGCAGGGAACAGTGAAGAGTTACCTTGCGTGCGCCACGACACACCTCAAACCATCTACACCTACAATTAGACTAATTCGAAGTGGAAATAAGATTTAACTGTCAAACTTGTGCTACCTAGTTCCGTCGCAAAAGCAACATTTAACTTTTACGAGTTTAAGTGCAACATGTTTAAATCCTATTATTAAATTGTTTGTAACAGGTTTGCACTAAATGAGAATACAACACCTGTCTACGAAAACTATTAGCCTATTTCGTATGGTAAGATCAATACCATAAATCATAGATTCCAAACAAAATGGAACAAACCCCCATTGCTGTAAAAATTACGGTCCAAAATTTAACGCAATTTTTGTGACTGTCCCTATAAAATATAGTTACTCCACTCCTTACACATGGTAAGGGTTGTTGACAAGCTAATGGGAGAAAGTATGCGTCATATTTCTGATACTGTTTATTTTATTCTATAGCTTTACCTTACACCTAGCTACTCACGTGTTGGAATACAAAGGTTGCGAAGTTATTTCCTTCTCCGTCGTCGACGTCTCCGGCGTCGTCTCTTCCGAAGAATCTGGCCAGAACCCCCAACCATCAAACTGCCTCTTCACCCTGTCCAGCATCCTTGCTGCACTTCCCCACACACTATCACTCACTACACCGTCACTTCCACTATCACTAACACTACCACTAGCCGTCCTTCGGTGGTTCACTACCTTCCATCTGGGACCACCCGACGGTTCTTCAAAGACTAGATCTTCATCGAGGAACTGAAACAAACAAAAATACGCATGAGCGATCGGAAACGTTTAGTTTACACATGAACATAATCAAATTGAACTCTATGGCCAGGCTGATATCAAAGACAAAGTAATATGTTGAATTTCGGTCTTCGGGAGATTGGGTTATTTGCAAACCTAGTGATCTAGGAGTTTGGTATATAAAGGATGGATCATCTGCAAATCCACTCTAATGTTAAACTTTTTTGTAATACCAGTATGGTCTTGTATAGGGGTGGACTTCCGTATCTGTTGGCACAAACAACCGAATGAAAATATCAATTATTCGATTGTTTATTTTGATATATCGATCGATAGTTTCATTCGGTTGTTTGTGCCAACAGATACGGAAGTCTACCCCTGTATAGTGGCTGTATATCAGTATCGTAGTTAATATAGTTCTCCATTGAAAATCGAACACTGTTTAACATTTAGACATCTCACATGGATGAAATATAGGTACAAAGTTATATTTGGTTGGTAATAATTTAATTTTTCATTATTTTGTCCATAAGAACGCTTACAAACAATTTGAAACTTTTCACTAACATTAACCCTTTGTGATGTTGTTTGTTGCTCGATAGTAACAGATAATAAAACTATCATTTTTTTCTTTTAATACAAACAAAATGATAGTTATGAAAATGATTAAAAGAAAATGTTGTCAACCCGGCAGACGGTCTTATGACCATTGCTGTAAAGTGCTATTTTTAGTTAATTTTCTTCTTCTTATGCAAAACATTATGTTTAGTTATAAGTTGATATGTATTTATGCAGTTTATTTTTGTGTTAATAAAGCACTTTTTCATTTCATTTCAAAACTATCATTTTTAGTTACCACGCTGAATACAGTAAATACAGGAAAGGGTGAAAATAATTAACACAGTGAATATACTGAATATAGTGAACGTATAGTTCATGTTTCATTCAATATATCACGACAACATTCCCTTGAAACCCGCCATAAGAAAGATAAGCAATAGCGCTAAAAACCGTGACTTTATCGGAAGTTGTAAACAAACGAGCGTCTATGTGTTAACATACATGTTGCGAACAGCTGTTCTGCAGCTCTGGACGTTGAAATGTTTACCGTTCCACTGGTGAAACACTTTCGCTCAACTAAACCCGTACAAATAAACACCACAAGTTGCCAAAGCTGCGTCAGAACTGGCTAGCTAAACAAACTGAGGCTATTTGCAACATTGTAGACTAAATCGTGTGCAATTCCGCGGTGTGTACACGAATCGTGGAATCGTAAAGAAGGTTAAAACACAACTCCACTCCAAGGTAGTTCTAATTTAAATTAAGCCTAAATAAGATATCAATTGGGGTGCGGCTGATCGAAGGGTTATACCGTGGGCGTCCTGGAAGTTATGATGGTACCAATGGTTTTTATGATTATGAGATAACTGGAAACCGATAGTTGACAGCAGCTAAAGTTCCACATTTCCATAAAATCTCCAAATGTTTCTCAGGTTAGGAAAAACTGTATTGGTTAGGGGACTATTTCAAAAATATTTTATGTTCGTTTTCTATATCTTCACATTATACAGTATAAGGTCTAGTGGTTACAGAGTGGTTGTTCTGAACTGCAAACCCGGGTCAAACCCTGCTAACCACCATGTCTATATCACTAAACAATGTTAGTTTGTTTAGTGGTATAGTTTCGGAACTGGGAAGTTAATTTTGGCAATGACGCCGGTTTTGGCCATATAACTTGTTGTTTCTTAGTGTATTTAAGGAAAAGTGAAAAATCATAACATCTATTGTAGTTTACAAATTCCGAAGGACCTGATAAAAGTATAAATCAATCTAGCCCAGAAAGGTGTGATAATAACAGCTGTTTAGGTCATTATCTGACACGCAGGTCATGAGCAACAGCAACTGAAGTGACAAAAATGCCCAGCCAAACAGCTGATGCTAACACCATATTTATTGTGACCAGCTGTTTACAATATAATTATGACGTACTAATATTAATAGTAATCTGACGTACACAAAACTGTCGGGAAAAAGTGTCTTTCTCTCAATTTGACGAGTTTTAGCGGAATAAATTTGTTGGAAACTTCAAAGGGATACAGTTGAAAGTATTTCGACCTAACTATTTCGTGATATAGTCTTTCTAAGCTCTACAGGGAGTTTAGAAAGAACTCGTTACAACTTGACGGTAAACAAACAAATCGGTAAAAATTGTAAATGTTACATTACTGAATACGTTATGTAAAAGATAAAATTTTCATATTTTAGTTAGCCAATGACAAAGTCAACAATATTACTAAGCAAACTTCTCTTATTTACTTATCAATATTGTAAACAAAAAACGAATCCATTGAAACAAAAACTGCTTACTAAACGAACCAAACTAGCTATTAAATTCAATCAAACCCCTACACAGCGACAAGTGGATAGGTGCTTTACAATAGTACAAGGCAATACACGCCTACATAGAGTAAGAAGAGGCGGAACAATGTGGTGATCAGGATCATTATCACTCTATGGAGCCACTACACTAATCTAGCACTCCTCTAGGACTGGACCACTCGAATATTTAAAATAGTTCTCATTGGCTGTATTGTCCGATATAATCGTTGCCGATTGTGCAGCTTTGTATAATTGGTTTTAAGATTTAGTTAATTGTATTTGATTAGGTATAAACAAGTAGATAAGGAAAAATAACAACCCACTAATTCTTATTAGCCTTTTGGTTTATACTTTGTGACATTTTACGGTTTCTTTGATTTTTTGAGCAAATGTCCAAAACAAGGCCTTATTAATATCCAATATCAAACTTTGTAGATAGCCAACTGTAGCATCATTAATAGTGTGTTGGTTTAAAATCAACCCCTTGGAATCGAACCAGCAACCTTCAGATTTTAATGCGAGTATACTCACTCGGTTTTCCAGGCAATAATTGAATGTTTCATCACGCAAGGTGCTTTAACTACAACTAAACTGCATCTATTTTAAACTCTAATGCGTTAAAAATTTCTAGATTTACTCAAAGCCAAAAAAGAGCTGTTTTGAAACATTACAGTACTATTTTTTACGCAGGCCGTAAGTTACACTTTAATTTTACGACTGTGTTACTAACTCTAGTACTGTACATTTCAGTCGAATTTAAAATTAGTTTAATAACGAAGATTACATACATTTTTTCAAGATGTTACGTTTGAGAAAACAATATTCTGTTTTCTACACCCCTAGTTTCAGTAATGCTAGTTCCCAAACTCGCCGCAAGAATACACCACCTGTCAACAATGTTAATGCTGATGCACCGTTAACACTTTGAACTCCATAGTTTCAAAACCAACTAGCCAAAAGTTTGTATAGTTTGATTAAAATATCTGCGTCTATAATACCTAAAATTATTTTACATTCAACCATCTTATAAAGTCATTACGTATGAAAACAATTCTATTTGCAAAACTAACTGTCTTTTTAAAGGATAATGTAATAATAAATGTTATCTGTCGCTTATAGTTTCTTCAAATACCCAACAGTTAAGATGGCAATAGCAAATATTTGTGCAACATTTTTAATTTTACATAGTTAATTGTTTGGAACTGGATACAGCTGTCCTTGAGAATCAAGAGCTTCATAAATATTCTTGGCATAGAATCAGCTGATTTTATTAAGTAGTAAAAAACTAAAAATTATCACCTTTACCTTATCTTCGCAGGCCTATTAGTCCCCTACTGTAATCTAATGGGTCGATGCTAACTATTTTATTGTGTTAACTGTTTAAAACTCCAAGAATGCCTTAAGTCGATTTTTACAGCTTCATATTAACTTATTTTTCGTTATTTCCATAACCATAACCACACTTCACGACTATTTTACGAGTCAGAGCCCAAAATGACTTACAGGAAATATAAATACACAAAAGGATATTACTGAATGGAAATTCAAATTCGGCTGTAACTCGAGCTAACAAAGGATTTGTAATTTTGAGTTGGGCAATTCCAGAGGGGCCCCGAGCAACGAACCATTGACTCGAAATACGATTCAAAATTTGATGGTGCCCCCGGAGTATAGGCCCCCCAAATAGAGGTCAAGGGTTCATTTTTATTTTTTTGCTGTTACATCTCTATGTTAATTCCAATTTAAGACCAGCTTATGTTTGACTACAAGGTCCAAGGGAGGTATAAATGTATTAAATATCTTTAGCGAACATGATGAAAGTTCTTAAGAGTCAAAGTGTAAAGTATGTCAATATAGTACTGTAACAGTAGTTTACGCAACGATTGTGTAAAGAAAGTGTTAAAGACACAAATTTTCCCATGCTTCCATGGATACAAATTATTATAATAACTTTTGAAAACCTTACATAAAACTTTCGGACGTTCGAGGGGCGTAGCCCGAGAGAAACTCTGGGAAGTGAATAGGCCTATGACGTTCCTAGATATGCGGACAATCTTTGTGCTTAATTTTGGCTTTATCGGTTTAGAATTTTAGTCGTGGTAGCTGCACAAACAGACAGACACCAACTTAATTTTATATAGCACAGATATTTCAATTGTATTCACTCTATTGGTCACTGAGATATCAATTAAAGTTCCAAACAAAGATCGTTGCTTCTAATTTTTTGTTCCCATGCAGAATAAATTGTTTAGGTAATTTGGTATAATACGGAGGCCACCTACCATAGAGCGCTGCGGCGGCTATGTTAGGTCGGGTTATCATAAACAGAAAGTACAAAACACCGCAGCGCGCTGTAAAATATGTGGCGTCTGTATAAGACCAAAGTACCATAATTTGTTAATACAATTAAATCGAATGGTACTCTTATGCTCCTTGAAGCAACACATCTAAACAATCGTTGAGATGATGCTACTTATAATTATGTGTCCTTTCTAAAGGGGTGCATTTAAGATTAAAAAGTTAAAAGAAATCTTTTAAAGTTTTAAAAAACATAATATTCCGCACTTAAAAATTACAATTGCAAAAATAAAGTACATGCTTTGAGTCTGTACTCAGCCATTATATAACCA